GCAGCCATGTAAATTTAAATGAAGCGGCGATTATTTAAATCGCCGCTTCGTTTTCCTATGTCTGGTAGCCTAATCTACATGCCCCTGGCGACAGAGGCATGTAGTCTAGACGTACCCTTAGTTGTACAAAGAAATATCTGTTTCATTAAGTTTTTCAATGTTAAACTTGAACTGACTTTTGCACATGTTCAAACATTAAATTATGTAATGACTGTAATAGCACTGTTAGTACAGTTTCTCAAGTTTTTAAGATGTAACCAGGGATATTTGGAAGGTGATAAACAGGTTTGATGTTATGTATTTATATTTGCACAGTTGGGTTTCTCCTGCATTTTTCACTGCTGCTATGCAAATCCTCTCCTGCACTCCTGAATTATAAGTTCTAATAATTCAACTGCTTGAAATTTTTGCTCTGTATCCCAAAGCTTATTTTTGCTTGCTATGGTTAACCATATTAACCATATTTGTAGAGCTCAGCACAAGGAGTGTTGAGGCCAGGATTGATGGTATATGTCTAAGTCGTTCACAGATAACTGATAAGCAGTGCTGGTACATCAGTGTTCAGCATGTAGAGCAGTACTTACAATTAGACTCCAACCTTAAGGCTGAAAGTGACTGTTGTGATCATCTGTCTAGTCAGACCTCCTGCACATTGCAGACCACAGATCCTCACCCTGCCTCTCCTGTAATAGACCCATAACCTTTAGCTGAGCCACTGAAGTCTCCAAATCTTAACGCAAAGATTTCAAGTTCTAAATGTTTTACATACCAGAAGCATCATTAAAAGGACTGTGTTTGTGTGATACAGGGGAACAAGCACTCCAGAAAAGCATTTGTGCAATGAGATTTAGCTGTAAGATACTAAAGGTCAAGAAACCTCATGAAACTGTACATTACAGGCATGTTCTGCATAGGATTTTATGCTTTCATTCCAACAGTGCTTTACTAGTCACGTTCCTCCACAGCCTCTTAGTTTGAGTGCATCCTACATGTGTAATAAGACTTAACAGCCTGCCTCTACATTCTCAAATAGTTGAATGGGATTTAACAGCCCAATTCCCCTTGCTTTAATGGGCATCATATGGCCAAATCCCATGCAACTCTGAAATATTTTAGATGCATATGCATGATTGGGCTGCATAGCAGCATGATGTTTAAAGCATAAGTACATGTGCTTTCGGGGATCATTTAGAGCCCCATTAAATTCTCCATGTGTCACAAAGAAGCAGGAAATTCAGAGTTGCTTCAGCTAGGGTTGTAAGCAACAAGGGGAGGCAGAGGGCAGCAGGGCACGAGCTGGGAATCAGCTGTCCCAGCTTACCCACAGTCCCAGAAGCTGCACCTGTGCTTTTGAAATGTAGCAAAAGCTGCCCAAGGCTCTTGCTACGTTTCAAAGGCAGAGGTGCAGCAGTCCTGGGTTCCCTGCTGCACCTCTGCCTCCCCTTTTTCAAGTTCCCTGCTGTGCCTCTGCCTTAAAAATGTAGCAAGAGCCGCAGGCAGCTCTGCTATATTTCAAAGGCAGAGCCGCAGCAGGGGTAGCAAGCGTCCCCCTCCCTCCTTATTGACTAATTGAGTAGCTGTTGGAATTTCCATCAACTACTCGATTAACTGTTTAATTGAAATTTAACATCCCCAACTCCAGCATGCTTCTTCCCCGAGAGGTTATGGCACTGCAGTCTGCTGCAGATCAGTCTGGGGCTTTGGCTCCGGAAGCTAGCAGATCCCAGGGACACCCAGTGAGACCTTTACTTTTGGGCAGCTGGCCTGCTGGCCCCCATTTTGCCTGTAGCATGGTTCCACTGGGCCAGAGAGCATTGACACAAAATGGTTTTCTAATGATAAATCCACTAGGTCAGTGAGGAAACCTGCTTGCAGATGCTTGCAGTGGCTCTTCCTGTTTCACTCTTTGCTGTTCCTTCAATCAAAAGTATGTGAGGCCTCAGGTCCACCTTCTCTCCTGCGTCCCTCCTGGCTTGGGGGACTGACAGTTGTATCCTGAATCCAGGGCCTTTTTTACTTTCTGATCCAGAGCTTTAAATAGTGGCTAAAAAATCTATCCCTTCTCCACTGCTTAGCATTCAGCTTCTTGTGATTGCCTGAATGAGTTCATTCTCCACCTTCTGTGGAGTCTTCCAAGCCATAGATAACCTCTGCATTTGCAGCGTAAAAAGCACACCTGCGTATTTTATGTGAGGTTTTCTGGCCT